ATAATAATAATAATAATAATAATAATAATAATAATAATAATAATAATAATAATAATAATAATAATAATAATAATACACGTTTGCGTTTTTGTTCGTAAACTTGTTTATTTTATTTATTCATTATTAATTATTACATGGATTTGAAGGGTAATTTTTCGAGTAAAATTAATCTACTCTTGAGAAGTAGAAGTGGAGGAAAATAGTATTGTTTGCAAAACCTGCATTATCATTTAATCTAAAACTTAGCACAGCCTTGTTATTTAGAATTTATATTATATTACATGAACAAGAATACAAACATATCTCAGATATTGTAGATATTTTAAATTCAAAAAAATTTTTTTTTTGGTTTGTTTCAATTTAAATAGATGATTAAATACAGAAATAGTGAGAGATGAATTATTTATCTTCCACTAATATGATATTTTAATCTTTAATTTGCATTAGATCTAAATAAAAAATACTGCTTTATCACTGCTGCTGGTGCCAATAATTTTCCTTTTGAACATGGAGTAAGCCAAATATAAAAACGTTGCCAGCAAAAATGTGTATTCACGTGCAGAATCCATTAACCTACTTCCTAAAAAATTATTGAAATAAGTGAGCAAATTATGGAACACAATGTTTCAACTAAAAAAAAGAAAAGTAAACTTACCAAATAAAATTTTATAAAAATATGCAATCATGCCATAATAACCAAAAAGACTTCCTACTGTGGTTATAACCTATTTATCCAAATGATGGATGAATATAATAATAATTATTCTCCAAAACAATATTTAAATATTATTTACTTACAGTATTGCTCCTATTATTATTTGTAAAGTTGCAAATGTGAAATTTAAATATGTTAACACAATAGACAATAGCCAAATGGATTCATTCGGGGCAATTTTTACCTTTGCTCTGTTTCCTCTTCTATCACAAAACCTGCTATATTAATCTCTACAGCCAGATTATACTCCGGATGATATTTCATTGATGTAAACTCTGTGGTTATTAATACAAGCAACATCAGCATTTAAAAAGGTTAAAAATGCAATAAGGAAATATTCTTACGTAATGTTGATTCAATGTAATATTGTGGAAAGTAATCCGATTCTAAACCAATATAAGCTAAAGCTGGTTGTGTTATCTTATTTCTAATTTTGCTAGAGAACGTTAAACTATAATACTATTGGTTTTTTGTTAACAGAATATTGTCAGTTTAGCAAATTTATCTCATTTTAAGATGATGATCTAAAGTGCACATACTGTTTTTCTAGATAAATAATATAAATTCATATAATCAAGTGTTTTAGCAAATGTATCACCAGAAAAATCTTCACTCCATGGATCGTATCCTATTTATTTGCCATGCTATATATTATTATTATCAAAAAAGACAAATGTAACCAAAATCTACCATGAATTTTATGAAAAAACTTGCTTGAGTCAAATAAATTCATTGACATGGTCCACTGTCCAGTAGCAGCAGGATCTGTGATGTTTATTAAAAGCTTAATATAATCTGTTCCATTCAAACTCATATCGCCTTTTGGTAAAAAGGTTCCAAGTAAAGTACGAGCAGAGTCATGACTAATTGGCAGCTTTGCTGGTTGTGTAATATATTCATCACAAGAAGCTATTACTTTTTTTTTTGAACATTTGAGTCAGATGTGTATACATAATACAATATAATAATAATAATAATAATATTCTACTTACCATCACCATTAAAATTCAAGAATAGACAACTTATGGTAAAACTTTTATCATAAGCAAAATAGAAGGCTACATTTATTCATGTAGTTTGATGTTAGAAAACATTTATCATCATTTGTTTTTTTAATTCAAATAAATATTTTACCTGGTACAATTAGTTTATCTGTTGAGTGATAGGATATACCAAAAGCAGGTTTTTCACTATATATCTTAATAATTGATACTACCATGGAAGCAACTAACAATGACAACAATGTAAGAACGACAAGAGGGCGAAAACATGTTTTAAAGGTTTGTAGCATTTTTTTTTACTTTCTTTTTTATTTTAATACGAGTCAGAATGAAAGGCAAGACAGATATTTATGTTCGTCCTCCTCAGAGCTTCTCATAAATGAAAAATTACATATTGGTCAGGACGCATTTCACACTCACAGCATGATGATAGTTTGAATTTATTGGATATATAAAATGAGACAAAATAAAATTTAGTTTGTCAAAATTAGGAAATTAAAATTTAATGTGTAAATATATACATATACGAAAGTTTATTCCTACATTACCACACCACCACTGTCATCTAATTCTCATTCTACTGTTACTGTTACTGCTACTGCTACTATTGCTTTTAATTTGCCATTATTATATTTGATGCCATTACGTTAGAGAAAGTTAAATCTTTCAAAGAAATTTGTACAAATGTTACAAATGAATTGATTATAAAGTAATAATATTATTAATATTTGCCAGTATATCCATGTCCATTCACCATATTTTATTGTACTCGGATAATTAATTACATATATAACTATTAATAAAAACAAGTATTAATGGATAGATATGAATAATAACGTTACATATTTCTTAAATTTGTAATATAAGCGATAGCCTTCATAATAGAGTAAGAAATTACTTATCTATAATTAAATTGTATATAAAAATAGTTTAATAATAGAGTAGGAAATTATGATATAAAAAGTCTTCATCATGAATTCGATTTGAATTGTATTAAATGTTTCAGTAATAGAAAGTAAACTTACATATCCATAGAATCTAAAAGTAATGATATTTTTTGAATCCTAGTGGGGTAAGGAATTGCTACGACATACAGACTTTGCTTCTAATAAGATTCTGTGGGTATTGAAGTTATCTAGATGGCCAAAGTAGTAGCTATAGTTTTTTTCTTATTACACATATAATTACGAATTTTATTTGAATATTCATCAGGACCTTAAATTATAAAATTGCATCGAGATGTAAAACGGGTGCCATTGCACAGCCTAACCAACATTGCACATCTTGATTTATTAACATATAATAAATTTCTGGCTAATAGTTTTGATGCATGTAACCTTCCATACAATTTCTTCTACTAAACGATATCTTTTTTAGATTTTACACTACTGATCACGTTTCTTAGTGGGTGCCCTCCTTAGCTGTTGTTCCATACTCAAGT